ATATCTACTAGCCAGACAACAAATAATGTCTGCCTGGAAGACATACATCAGGTCATATCTACTAGCCAGACAACAAATAGTGTCTGCCTGGAAGACATACAGCAGGTTATATCTACTAGCCAGACAACAATTTCTAACTTAAAATCATACCCCAGCCTTTAAGAGAAAAAAAAATCACTTCTATTTAAGTGTCTAGCTGTTCTAGCGCTTTTGCACTAATTGGGACACTTTTCACTCTCACACACTACCACTACATTAAAATAATGTTCTATGCACACAACACTCAAATCACATGTTAATTAAGCCCCCAGTCTGCTGCAACAAAAATAAGCCCCCAGCCTCTAAAAAGCCATACTCTAAAAAACCTTGTGGTCATTCTATCTTGGCAGTTCTTAGAAAGCCATTTCACCTGTTGAGATTGTGAAAGTAATTACGAATTTCCAAGCCCCAAGTCCAAAAGCACTTATTGAAGAATAATCCCTTAGGGAAATAATACAGAAGACAGTACATGTATGTTGATATTATAGTATTACAAGAATTTTTATTGTGAGTCTAGTATCTGTCTTATGCTTTGAATGTCTGATAATCTAGTTTCACAGCAACCACCTTAAAATAAAAAGTATAAAGAGCAATTAATAACTATAAATATCACATGGTACAGCTATCATAGCATTTATCCATACCAGTTTAGTGGCCTGTAGTATGTCAGCCATGAATAGATTAAAGGTGCTGACACACTGTGCAACATTGCACGCAACATCGCAAGCAACACATTTGAATTGGGGTGACACACACTGCAACAAAGTCATGACACATCGCTTGTGTCAGCCTGCTATGTTAAGATATTTGGTCAGCAGTTATAAATTTGGTGCAAGCTGATTGGCTGGAAATTTCAAAATGTTACAGGTAATGTTGCAGCCATGTTCACATGATGAAATTTGTTGCACGCAATATTGCAAGAGTAGAGAGCAATTCAACTTCAGATTTGTTGCGTGGAACAAGTTTGGGGTAGACACGCTGCAACAGTCCTGTTGCGTGCAATGCTGCATGCAACGTTGCACCATGTGTCAGCACCTTAATTAGACTCAATATGGGAAGTATTAGCCTTACCTATCCATTGCGCTCCAGCAGATATCCAATCAGGAACAAGGTCTTTTATCTTTACTGGCTGACCTGTGAACTGACACCTGAAACATCAAGACATAAAGATCAGGGGGGACATGTGCATGCAGACATTGGATGGTTAAATCTTACCTTTTATCAATCCATTCCTCACCAATGTGGGGATATGCTACCAATGGCAAGGACACTTTGTCTTTGAGGGTGAGCAGCAGGGACTTAAAACATGAAATAAATGAATGTCCATCAAAAGGTTCTACTAAATAAATAATTGAATGAAACAGTGTTATTTCTACAGAATAGCACTTCATCCACTGAATTCTTTACTTCTCTGCTCAGGATAGAAGTATGCTTGTACTAACCTTTACAAACAATGGAGAACAACAGTTTATTCCCACAGCAACAACCTACACACATAACAACATAGTAATTATATTAATTTACTACAATAAGTTTCTTTATTGTCATGGTAGCAGTACCCACCTGGGATGTATGTTTTAGAACAGATAATACAGCTGTAATGAGTTGTTCACCATGAGAAGTGTGTAGTCCATCCTGGAGATGAACAAGTTTATGAATGGCCTGATTAGATAAGAGTAAATGACATTGATCAGCCTAAAACAAGAAATACTTGCCTTGCAACTGAAGGAGAGGAGGGCTTTTGTTCCTGGAAATTCCTTCAACAGAACAGCTAATGCTTCTGCTTCTTTCTAAGAGAAAATATAAAAACCACTGATTAAATTAAATTATTACTAATCATTATTAACAGCTTATTATCAAATTAAGTTCTGTTTATACTGTCTGATTGTTCTCTCCATACTTACACTAAATCTTACAATCATTTACAGCAGTACAACGTGAATTATTATATCAAACCTGAGCAGGTATCGTTTCTATAGCCAGTAGGTCTACACCAGCATCAACCAGTGCTCTCATGCGTGGCCTGTGCCACTCCATCAAATTCTTATAAAACAAAAAAATGATACATGCATTATAAAGAGAATGTTTTTAATAGGTACCTGTTGCGTAGATAACAGACAGTAATTACAAAGAATTGTGATGTTTTTAAAAGACAAACCTCAACTGTCATGGTGTCTACATAGTCTCCACTATATTCAGAACCATCATGTTGACAGGCTCCATAAGGACCAACAGAACCAGCAACCAAGGGCTTTAATCTGCTCTATAGAAATTATCACATCATGAAAGCTAGTCACACACTTCTCTGCCAGCAGTTGGATTCATGCATGCTCCATATAACACCACCCCACCCTGCCTCCTAACCCTTTATTTTCATTAAAAATACTTAGATCATCCCTTACCAATGCTGAAGTTGTTTTTGGTTGCTTTTCCCAGAATTTAGTGCAAGCATCTCTTGCTAATGCCACACTCCTTTTTATAAGTTGTTCTGCCTCTTTAGGTGTGACTCCTAGATATTTACAAAAATCCTCAACACTGGCCTGCAAAATAATCAAATACTTTATTCAATTAAATAACTATCAGATACTATATTAACATGCTATAATATATTTATACCTGATAGCTTGCAGTTACAGCAACATCTGAACCACTCTCCAATTGCCTGTGCATATAATAAACAACATATCTATGACAGCAGTACATGAAGTAGAAAGTATAGCCTCATTGTATATTATACTTGCATCACATGTAATTCTTTTTGTTACAACCTTTTTTTATGTCCATTAGGCTGTATTCATGTGTACCAGGGGGGAGACAGCTCATATTTTTTCAATATGACTAAAAACTTTGCTTTCTCTTTCTCCATGGTCCCTCCTCCCCCCATTCTCTGAGAAAAAATATGAGGTCTATACATATTCATTGAACTCAAATATTTTTCATAACCCCCTATAGTTTAGCTGTCCTCCCCACTCCCCCCTCTCATACACATAATGAATGCAGCCTTGCCATTAACAGTACTGTCTGTGTATCAGCCCTTACACACTCAAGCAACATGACATTCTACAGTCTAAAGTATCGTTTCTAGGCTACAAGATGTAATAGTTATAATATTAAACAGTGTATTAATGTCTCACCTGAGATGAACATGTGTTATTGCCTCAGGATTATCATACAGAAGTCTAGCACTCCATAACGGGTCATCCTATGAGGAACCAGATATTTATGTTACATCCTTATTGATATAAAGTATTAATATAAAGTAAAGGCAAGGACCATGGACCACCCTAAAAAAGTGGGGGCTAAGATTGGGAAATATAAGAGGCTATAGTATGGGAAAAGGTAAAGCGGGGGCAAAAGCCCCCCAGCCCCTCCTTCCCCCCCCCCCTCCCCCCCCGTTCTGCGGTCCCTGAAAGGGAGCAACACTACTTAATAACTCACAGCAATATCATAGCCATCATATATCAGTTGTGTTCCAAGCCCTCCATTAACCAATAGGAATGGAGATTCCTTAATTACTGAAGAAATTCTGTCTTCTTCATTCATATTAACAACTTCAGCTTGGAAAAAGATATCTAAAAACACCAAATTACAACAAAAACATAATAGACAGGAGCAATTTCTGTTCTTACTAAAAGAAAACACTTCTTTGGCAGGCGTTCTTCGTTACTAACTGGGAGGACTGGAATTTAATAGCTATATTTCTATGAAACACGATCGGAAGACCCTAAACCTTTTTGAGAAGTTATAAAATAGTGATACATTTTTTTCGAGCTACCGGCAAAAAATTAATTGTGTTCTTAGAATGACTGATAGATGCTTCATGATTAAGATGGGAGAACATTACCCCCTCTCTGCCCCCCACCCCACCCCATCCTCACCTCCCATCCGCCAAAAAGGATTAAGAAAATTTCTTTTCCGCCTCTACACCCTTACAACAATATTACATTGTCTTGATAACTAAATAAGTTTTGACCTCCGTGAGTCCTACGTGAGTCCCTTTCGTGACAATTTGCCATAACAGTAAAAATATCCACGATAATAATATGATTGGTATTCAAGCATGTCGTCTCGGCCAGCCAAGGTCTCGAACATTTTATCGTCACGTCATTCTCGTATTACGAACCTGCTAAACCGGTATACGATGTACGTCATTGCAATCAACCAATGGAAACGCGTTAGGAAAGGTTCCTTTAGGAATTAACCAATCAGAATTGAGTATTATTTTCATGTGGGGAAGGGTAGGGGTGTGTGCGAGGATTGACTACGTAATCCAATCAAACGATGAGATGTTATCAAAGGGCGACAGGATATAAGGGCAGGTAGTTTAAAAAAATAAACGATTTTGCCTTCTCTTTACTAGATTTTTACCACTAGTTAGTTCAAACCTAGCATAGGATAATGGGCTATACCAAGGATCTGAATTTAACGTTCTCTGGGTGTGGATTTCTTGGTATTTATCATCTTGGAGTAGTGTCTTGTCTAAAGGACAACGCGCCTGCTTTTCTGGACCGAATCAAATGTCTTGGAGGTACAAGTGCCGGTGCTTTTGCTGCTACTGCTCTTCTCATGGACTTGAATGTGTCAGACAGCGCAGAATTTGTTCTTCGATTAGCCAAGAGAGCCAAATCTTTAGCTTTCGGGCCGCTACATCCGAACTTTCGTATTGTAGACACAGTGCGAAAATCATTTGAGAAAATCCTTCCAGAAAACGCACATGAAATAGCAAGTGGTCGCCTTCATATTTCCCTCACAAGAGTATCAGACTTTAAGAATGTGATAGTGTCAGAATTCCTGTCTAAAGAAGACCTTATAGAGGTAAGTATTTATAATTCTTTGATATACTTTACAATGTTTAGTGTTTTTTGTATGTTACGGGTGGCGGGCGAAAGACTCACTCATTGTAAACATTGATTTGCGTGTATTTCTTGATGAACTTATTGAACCCTGAGCGAAGATCGTCAATATTCTGCCTTGTACTGATCACGATATATAAGTTCAAGCCTCTTGTTTACTCAGAGATGCCGGTCTTTCGTTCATTTCGTTCATTTTCTTTTCTTTACCAACTGCCTGGTAGTGTAGTGTTTGTCGCAACTCACTTGTTGATTTCATTTACTTTATTTAGTTTGTTAATTTCACCGCTTCAATTTAATTTTTCGTTTCCTCTTTTAGTTGTTTTTACATTGGTCTTATCCATTTTATTTAGATATTCGTACATTCTTGTTTAATTTTCCGAAATAACTAATAAACATTCAGTTGTTGATGATAATTTGTTCATCAATAAGAATAATAATATCGCGTGGAAAAGCGTTTTGTTTATCACGCTCTCTATGGTAAATTCTGTAGTATATAATACTAACCCTAACGGTTAAAGTCAAGATTTCTTAGTGTTTTGTACATGAATTCTACCGGGAACAAGCCTGGACAAACATCAAAGTTTACAGCTTGATATCTTCAGAAACGAACCGTATTATATGTATATATATATATTTTTTTTTTTTTTCTCATGAGTAATTTTCTCTCGTTTCTGACTTCAAGGGAAAATTATTTGTATGAGAATTTCTGTTGAACCATTTTTATTTGGGCTTCTATGAAATTTAAGACAAGTTTAGTTGTTTAAGTATTGTGCAATAGCCCTCATGTACTAGCCTATCATAATGTGATATCCATGCTTAAACTGCTTTGTTGTGCATGTATTATACAACACTAGAAAAAATAATTTCAGTTTTAGCTTGATTCCTGCTGAAACTAATGTTGTAATTGAATGGTATTAGCTGAAATGTGGGCAATGGTTGCATGTGATCTGTCAATGTGCTATAGGTTTTATAACACTGACAGGGACAAAGAATATATAGGTCATAATTTGCTTAAGTCAGTTGCTCCAATGAATGTAAGATAGACTGTCGATTCAACCTGAACTAGCTAGTTGAAATATTAGGAAGGTTTTTTTCCTACTTAACATTACAAGTATGTTGAGGTCAAGTAGGAAAAAAAATTTGTATAATATTGTACATGGTACAATAACATGAGAGCATCAAGTCAAGAGTTGTTCAGCCAATAAGAAAAACAGGACAAGTCAACATGTCTGTATTTATACAAGACAGAATTATTTATGAGTGTAAAGCAAAAAATTGTGTTCCGTAGTTTAGGGTTGGAGCTCACAATAATGATTCATACATGCAATGTATTTGATTCGCATGCTTACGTGCTTGTTGTAACACTAGTGCAGGCTCTTCCTGGCATGACACTCATGTGATATGATTCTAAGGTATTATATTACATTCAATTGCACATCAAATAAACATGTCATTCCACATTCACATCAAAGAAAAGATGCAATTTGTTCTGGACAATGCTTTTACCAAAAAGTATTAAATGCTTGAGTGACATTGACCTTGAGATAGATAGATAGAATCCAAATCCAGGAGTTTTTTTAGACTGTTGACTTGTGTGGTCTACTAGTGATCATTCTGTACAGATTCTAGAACATGTGATGCTTGCTTGATAAATATATTAGTATGCATGGATATCCTGCTGCTCATCATAACATATCAAAATTGATGTAAAAATTACTTACAGCCTGCAATATTAAGAGGAAAGGCAGGCCACCATGTTGGTTGGTGTAATAAGAGAAGCTTATTTAAAGAGGAATGCTTTATTATCATCAACCAACATGGCAGCTATGACAAGAATAGGTTGATATCAGTCATGTGTTCTCATCATACCTGCTGTTGTTAATGTAACCAAAACCAACAGAAACTATTTACATTAATGATAATATACAGGAAGAGAGGGGAATTAATCTCCTTGTGCTTTAACCAATCAGATCATGTCAACTGATACAAAGCCGTCATACTGTGAACACTGCAGGAAAGCTAATGTCACATTGAAATAATAGGGAAGAAAGGTTTTGTTTCTTAAACATTATTGATAGAGAATTATCTTTGTATCATATTAGGCTCTCCTGGCTTCCTCGCATGTACCTTTCTATTCAAGTATCATGCCAGCAAGGTTTAGAGGAGTTGTAAGTATAATAAAGTTTTATGCCTTTCATAATGATTTGTTAGACTAAATAGTTTTGCTTATATTTACAGTATTATGTTGATGGAGGAATCACAGACAACTTACTGCAACATTTTACAGAAGGAGAGACGATTACAGTATCACCATTCAGTGGTGAGAGTGATATCTGCCCCAAGGATGGTTCTGCTAACTTTGCTCATTTTGAAATGAAGAACACTAGTGTACAATTCACATTACAGAATCTTTATAGATGTTCACGAGCATTCTTTCCACCTGAAGTACAAGTTCTCTGTGACATGTGCAAACAAGGGTATCGTGACACAATGAGGTTCCTTCAGACTCAATGTAAGTATCAAATGCTTGGTTGGAAAAAATTGATCTGTTAATACATTAATTCTTCAAATCTGAAGTTCTCCAGGGTTGTATCTAAGAGGGAGAGGAGATTTTGAGTTAGGAAATTTGAATTATCTAATATAGTTGCATGTACAATATATCAATCTTTGTTTCAGATCCAGAAACCTTAACGAAAGAAGCATTGAGAAAAAAACCATCAGTGTTCATGTCACCAGGAATGACATTTGGTAAACAAGACAGTGCGATTATGATTAGACCAAGTCTCACAAGGAGCTGTAGTACAAGCTCAACACTGTCAGCATACAGTACCTGCAGTAATGGAGAAGCAGAGATGTTTGAGACATCAGAATGTGAACAGGATGACAATACAGTTGAAGGAGAGTCTAGACTTAGTGTTTGTAAGTACCAATCTCTTCTAGTTGAACATTTTGATATTATCCCTCCCTCCCTCCCTCCCCAGGGAAATTTTCTTCAAGATCATCATCTTAATATTTGTTGATATTATTTTCCTGCAGTGCTTGATAGAACACAAGAGGCCATCATTGAAGCAGAGCTATGGTCATGTTACTTTATCCGTAAAGTGATATGGGTATTGAAACTGGCAGCTAAGCCCTGTGTGCTGTCTGTCAAACAGATCACTTATATGGTGCATGTGTGAGTAATGAATGAAACTACCATGCATATATATTGCACTGTCATATATATACAATAGTGATATTCATGTTGGATTGTATTGTCCTTTCAGTATCCTGGAGTCATTACCAGCAATAGAGAAGACAGGAATAGAGTTTATGGATCATCTGTTATCAATGATATACGTCATGATACATACATATAAAGATAAACATATTGTACATGACAGGTACGTCAATGTTATAACTATCAAACAATCATGCTTGTTGCCTAATGTCAATATTGCCACATAAATACTTCCTCCAAATATTATATTTTTATATTTTCATTTGCTATGAAGCCTACTGCAGGATAATATTGACTTATAACATTTTTTGTTACAGGAGACTTACAAAAGAAGCAACACCAGGACAAGAAGGACCACAGGAACCCCACATGATACCATCTCCATCAAGCATCCAGCAAGGTACTCTACTTTCCAGTGATTTGTCAACTCGTTGAATTCACACATTTATTAGTTCCTTGGGTTAATATTATTATATGTTTCATTCAACAGCATCCCTTATTCTAATCCAGAGACTAAGGGAAGATACATCAATCCACACAACATCAACTCTCCACCCTATGTTAGAATCTGCTGAAAACGTACAGGCAGTAGAATCAAGTGGTAACTCGTCACCTTCTAACAGTGACATAGAAATAATACTTGATGAAAGCTTCAGTAGTCATAAATCAGAATATGACTTATGTGATCAACCTTTGAGTATGTCTTTCCATTCATTCCATAACCCATCTGGTGAGCAGATAGATCTAGACCTGGGTCAGTGGGAATCAGAAGGTGGGGCGTGTGCTGGCAGCCCTCCATGTCAATCACCAAGTACATCTGATGATTATATTGTACTTGATGGCTATGAAACAGATATTGAATCCATGAGTAGTGGTGATCTGGGAGATGATTTCCTTACCTCCTTTGAGAGTAATATTTAAAACAAAATGTACAAATATAATGAAATGTCTATTTTATGGTAATAATTCACAATAATTAACACAACAATTACTGTGTTACCTTATGTGATAACATGACTTTACGTGTCAAGACTGTTCATATCCATTATTATCAATTATTACACTTTAACTATCAATTTACACTATTTGAATTGCAATTTCACCCCATGGAAGGGTTTTCAAATTAGCCTAGAGGAGTTTATATGCTGATAAATATTTTGCTAACAAAATTATTATAATTATGAACAAATTTCGATATTTTAATGGTATATTTTAATTCATAATTTGCGCACCGTTAGTTGTAATTACGACTATTTCGCACCAAATACCACTCATTTTTAGTGTTGGATATATTGTATAAAGTTCTTATTGTTTCACAAGGTTAAACTGGTGTTTTGCCGATATTGAAGTTATTGTTTGCATCTGGACCCAGCCATGTGCTCTTTTCAATGATTGCCTTTCGCATTTTGTACTTTCATTATAAATAAACAAATTGTACATAAATAATTATTATATATATATTGTAAATAATATCAAACAAAGTCTACCATTGTACATTTACCATATATATGTATAGAATATTAGATATTAATAGATTATTACAGGTATTATGAAATGATTAGTTCAGAATAAATGATAACAAAACCATGCTTACTGGAATCATTAGCTCAGCACTTACCTTCCATCTAAGTTTTCCTTCGACCATCTCAAGGAGCGGACATGCGGCAATATGGCACTCAGATATAACTTAATGTGCGCTACTGTCGCGCACTAGCAGATGTGCAATCAAACCAATATCTTGTTGTTCGGGGGTCGCGCAATGTTGTATGCAATTGATGTTGCGAGCCATGATACACGACGCAATTTGTTACACGCAACGTTGCTGAAGAAGAAAACTATCCTACTTCAGCAACATTGCCTGCAATGTTGCGCGTAATGTTGCACCGTGTGTCCGTGCCCCAACTGAACCTCAGCGAAGTTCAACGGCTTGTGTTAGAATTGGTGTTTTACTGCCCCAGTCAAAAATACAAAAGGTGCGGACTGATTATTTTTGTTTGAAGGCAGCAAAAATATCAAATTTCAGCGGGCAGCTTGCAATTACCAATTTAACAGAATTTCAAGAAATACAGTAACCCAGACCACCATAGCTAGTCCTTCGCTCGCATTATCTGCAATGCACTTTGATTTGACCTTAAGATATCCTATGTTAAAGACCCCCATCATGCTTCTATCTCTCATTCCACTCATTCATTCATTCGTTATTTTAACTTTTTTTAATCATATAGCGGATCATATTTGCAGAACATTATCGAGTTGCCTTTTTGAGGTGAAAATGCGCTGATAGAAAAGCATATCTGTTAAAAGACCGTCTTGTTATGTAATGGATGAACATCTCTTGTCATTACATACCATGGGGAAGTCTAGCGTGTTATTAATGTGCCTTGAGGAAGTAATAACAGCACCATGCAGCTATTAGTATTTCTTTTACAACAAAAGCGCATGTCACATTCCTTTTACAAAAAAAAAAGAAAAAAGAAAGAAAATTTTATGCTTTTTTGATTTCAAGAAAATATTATAATGCTGTTTGTGGCAGACCCTTAGCGATCCCGCGTGTGTCAACCAACAGAATTCGTATTTAAATTTTGGGGTCGAGCTAGAAGTAGAGCAGCTCTTTACAGGTAAGGAGAAATCAATCTGGCTAAATGAATATTTGAATAGACACAAGATACTTGCAAGAGAATATGAACTGCGCAGACCAAGAGCGGGGGTGAAAATCAAAAACTGCTTTTCTTTGTTTCTCGTGTTGTGGTTTAAAAGTGTCAACCACATTTTGCTCTCTTAATTTCCAGTTTACTCTGCTCGCTAGGGGAGTTAAATGTGGTTTGTAAGGTTTTACGTTAACGATAAGTTGTCAACTAGATATAGTGTGAGTAAGTTAAATATAGAAGACCCATAGTAACACACTTCATATTGGAATGAAGTTGATTATGTGTGTCTGCTGCTTTTCCCCACTACACACACTCCCGCAATGCTTTCTTTTTAATACTATCTATTTGTTTGTTCATCATCTTCCCTAGCTCGGTCAGTCGTTTGCTTTACGATTGTTCAATATCAGACTGTTATTCATCCAACTTAATAATTTTATTAACTACAAACCGAGACTGAGGCGGTTATTTCCAGGTCAATTTATTTCAATCACTGGCATTTTCTCATCTCAATACAAAATATACGGGAACCGATCCAGTAATCTTTTTTGAGTTAATAATTAATCTAATGAGCTAAGATCAATCAATTATTAAGCGCTAATGATAATAACATGCACTAAGTAGACGCAACAAACTGTTCCATGTTCCTCGAGCGATAACATTCATATGTGTAAAAGCGAGCCTGTAGGCTGTGAATAATACATAACAAATACGACACATACTAGTGCCATAGTCAAAGCTGCTAAGGATATCTGTATAGTACACATCATTTGTACGTTGTTTGTTCTTATGTCGAATACAGAAGGCTTTGGTCTTAATACGCGCTATCACTAGGTGATCTTTTGCATTCTAGCCTTTAAGTAGAACTCGTTATCTACTGCAGTCGATAATTCCTGCAGATCTTTGATGTATAATAGCAAGATTATTTTATTCTTTTTTCTAGAGGATTTTCTCATTTGTCGGAAACGCCCAAGCTAACCTTCTCTATAATCAAATTATATCAGATGTCTCAATAAGCCGAGAGCAGCTTTCTCTCCATCTCCCACACGGCCGGATGTGGTATTTTCATGCATCCAAAGAAGAGTTTTTGTTTAAGGTTCGATATTGGTCCAGTCATCCCACGTTATTCATTAAACCCATCTTCAGTGTTTGGCCATAACTCCATCAAATGCTTCTTGTCTGTTCATTGCGGACTCTTTCAGGCTTAACAACTGCTAAATTAAGCGGGTTCTTCTACATTTGATTAAATCAGTTTGTAGCTAGCGACTACACCCATTCACTTTCCATAATCTCATTAATTCTGTCATCTAATACTGCACTGCTAACAAGTCGAAATAATTTCTTCCAGTTTTTCTGAGCATTACTGCCGCCGTTCCGATACAAGGCTAAGCGAACCATTTCCTTTGTGAATCGGTATGCAGGCTTGTTTCCTTGTGACTCTTGCTGCTGTTGTTGTTGCTCGTTGATAACTTCAGTATTATTATCAGTTGTTATGTTATTACGAACATTGTTCTTGCTATTCCTTGCCTCTATTTCCTCCTCCTGTTTCTCGTTCATATCACTATCACTGTTTAAGTCTTTTTCCTTTATAAAATAACGAATTTCCTCCAATTTGTCGGCCCATTTCACTCGTTTGACCATGTTTTCTGCCTTTTCCTTCGTCTTGAAGAAAACATGCAGATCCTTCCAAGACATATCTTGAAAAACCATTCGCACAACGATAGATTGACTTTAAGATTAGTAAATGAATGTTTTTGTTTCCCTCTTTCTCATAAATATTTTTTTAACAGGAAGCTAGAACGCTCTTCTTGGTCTTCTTGTTCTTCACGCTCTTGACTCGAAAACGTCGCGAAGAGAAATAACGCACTACAAATGTAGTAACTTTTCTGTTGGAGAATACTCAGCGTGATCGTTATCGTGCGTGACGTATCGTGATGAAGCGTTACGTGTTGATGATATTCACAGAGCGATAAAATAATCAAGCACGTAGCTTCATTTTGTTACACGAAATGTCAAGTGAAAACCCAACCAAGATAACTTATTTTGTTTCAAGAGGAAGACGTAGAAACATCCAAAACCCATCGTACGCATCTTTGTTTAAGGGCGTCTGTGACGATTCTGTTGCTATTTCACAATATACGCAGCATTTTTATTCGTCACTTATTAGTGGTCGGATTAGAGATGATAAGGTGCTTATTTATAGCTACAAGAGACTCTAGAATAAGTATTAGGTGAATGATGTCGCCCTCGTGTCGCCTTACTCGAAGGGGATTGGCTGGAAGTTCACAGATTAAATTGCGTTCTTTAAAACGACAATAAATGCGAGGATTACATGGCAATGATAGTAATGAATAGTAACAATGGAGAGCATTCTGTCAGTCTTCAATATCACCTGTATTAAGCACACCGAAAGAACGAGTTCTGAGTAGGTCAACGAATCCATTAGAAAGAGGAAGCGAATGAGAAAGATAAACAAAAGAAAAAGGAAGAACAGATGGTAGAAAATGACAACAATACTGTTTTACATTAGTCTTGAATATGATCAGTGGGAGGGAACACAGTTGATAATAACGTTACTTGAGTTGGTTGGTTATTAATCACGGAGCTTATTGTAGTGTGATCCATACGACTGTCTGGTACTTTGTCGTACACGGGCGAGTATACCGGCCTATTTCAATCGTTGTCGGTCGGAGATTTGAAATTTAAAATTGTAATATATATTCACAGCCGAACAATGTTGTTACCTTTTAGAGATAAATATGATGCATTACGTTTGAGTTTGAAATGTGCATGGTTTTTCGTATTTTAACCAGAAAAAAATATTAAAGCAACAAAGTTATGCTTAGTCTCGGGTCACCCACTTCCGATTTTAGACCGACAACGTTGTTTCAAACAGGTGTATCTTGGTAAAGTGTGCCTAACATACATTTAGTTCGTATAATCCAACCATCCATCCATCCATCCATCCATCCATCCATCCATCCANCCATCCCTCCATCCATCCATTTGATATCTAAAAAGTCGCTTATTCATTCATTCATTCATCCATTCATCCTTCACTTCAGCTGTCCCATCCCATCTTATCCATCCATCCCACCCATGGCCACCCAACCACCCATACATCCACCCACACACCCACGCGCCCATCCATGTACACAGTACTCGCAGATTGATTTTCTTATCTTGGAAGAGAGTGACCATGCATTTACTTCATTCCACACAATTATTTCTTTCTACATTCTATTTAATTTCCTAAAGCTACAAGAGGCAAATAACACCCAATGTCGGCTTACTTTGTGCTTCATGACGAACATCACCGCTTTATTTCGGTGACTTCGAAGAGTTGCTTCCCTCATGGTTAGAGTTTTATAGGTCTCTCTATTGATTCGAAGGTTTTTCTTCGGGTTCTCTGTTTTTCATCCCTCCGCAAAATCTATAAACACGCTAAATTCTGATTCCAGTTCAATATGTGAGTTATTTGCCATGCATCGACTTTGATCAGCCCTCGGGCTGTTCCAGGGTTCGATCTGTGAGTCATTTACCGTAAATCGACTTAAATCAGCCCTCAGGCTGTTCCAAGGTATCGATAAAATTTGAAGGTTTCTTTTGAAGACATTTTGTAATTTCGGGGTTTTTTCCTCCGAGGTCGACTGTCGTTTTGGTCTTGCGCACTCTATTCTATGTGCCCGCATTCATTCCTGTTCGTATTAGTTGCTGTATGGACCGTAGTACAGTAGTACAGTAGTACAGTAGTACAGTAGTACAGTAGTACAGTAGTACAGTAGTACTTCAATAATACTCTGAAGGTAACCGCTTAGGTCATTTTAAGCTCGTCATTATTTATTGTAAAGAATTAGGACTGTCGTTTTGGTCTTGCGCACTCTATTCTATGTGCCCGCATTCATTCCTGTTCGTATTAGTTGCTGTATGTACAGTAGTACAGT